TCATCATGGCAGGAATACATGTTGGAAAGAAATTAATGAGCTCATCACCAAGAAGCAAAGGAAAGAAAAGGAAGAACTGGGTTCCACAATCCCTTTTGAAAGCACAACCCAATACCTCACAGACATTTAAGATCTAAACTATAGCCATAGATCAATGGATAAATTAATGGGCATTCAGTGTTAAAAGAAAAACTGAGCCACATTTAAATGTTAACAAATTTATTTGAGCATTCAGTGATTTGTGAACTAGCACCAAACTGCAAGTGGTTTAATACCCCCCGGGGGGGCGGGAATAAGAGAGGAAACTTTTATAGGACGTTTGCAGAAGTAAGACAAAGAAACTGTGTTAGATTGGTAAAGTGGAGGTTAGTTGGTGGTTTCTGATTGGCTAAACCTAAGTTTCCTTTTACTGCTTACCTTGAGTTTCAGTTTGCTTATGTGGTATCCAAGGCATCGGAGCCATCCCAGCCTAATGGCCTAAGTTGTTTTTAACACAAGACAATGGAATAAATGAACTACAAAGCCATGAAAATACAAGGAGGAAAGCTAGATGCACATCATGAAATGAAAGAAGACAATCTGAAAATGTTCCCTCCTGTGTGATTTCAACTATGGAACATTCTGAACAGACAAAACTGTGGACAGTAGAAGAGAACAGGGGTATTCAGAGGTTGGTGGGGAGGGTGAGATGACTCGGCAGAGTACAGAAAGTTTTTAGGGCATTGAAATTTTTGTGTGATACTATAGTGATGGATATATTCGTTATAATTTGTCAAAGTCCATAGAATGCACAACACCACGAGTGAACCTTGACATAGACTGTGGACCCTGGGTGATACTGAGTGTCAGTGCAGATTGACCAATAGTATCATGCGCATGTACCTGGTAGAGGATGTTGATAATGGAGGAGGCTGTGCATGTGTGGAGCAGAGAGCATGTGCAAATCTCTGTAACTTCCTCTCAAATTTGCTATGAATCTACAACTGTTCTAAAAGATAAAATTTTAAAAAGAAAGAAAGAAAACCTGTGATATTCCCAAGAGTTCTTAATATTCACTTTTTAAAATTTGTTTAGTTGTTAATGGACACAATACCTTTATTTTTATTTATTTTTTTAATATGGTGCTGAGGATTGAATTCAGTGCCTCACATATGCTAGGCAAGTGCTCTACCACTGAGCCACAAACCCAGCCCACTTATTTTTCATTTAATAGTGATCTTCAATAGATTTCTTTTCCCTTGTTCCTTGAGTCCTTGTCTTTGATTTCAGCATTCATCCAACATCCTCTGAATCTCATAAGAAGAGTTGGAAGGTTTCTTCATGCTGTATCTCTTCAGTTTCTTTATCAGAATTGCTCTCCTTTAATGTCTAGGTATTCTTCAGTATCTGCAGAGGATTGGTTCCACCCCTCACAGATACCAAAGTCTTCAGTTGCTCAAGTTCCTGATGTAAAATGACCTATTTGCATATAACCTATGCACATCCCCCAGTATAATTCATATCATCTCTAGATTACAGATAATACCTAATCTCAATGCAAACACCATGTAAACAGTTATTATACTGCACTGTGTAGGAAACAATGACAAAGAAAAACGTCTGTGTGTTTTATAGTAAATCTAACTATATAGTACATGATCCACTGTTGGTTGAATCTCAGATGCAAAACCTGCCTCTATAAACAGTCAACTCATCAGGCATGGTGGTGCACACCTGTAATTCCAGCAACTTGGGAGGCTGAGGCAGGAGGATCACAAATGTAAGGCCAGCCTCAATAACTTACCAAGACCCTGTCTCAAAATTAAAAAAAAAAAAAATTGAAGGGCTGGGGGTATAGCTCTGTGGTACAGCACCTCTGGGTTAAATCCCCAGTACCATTAAAAAAGAAGAAGAAGAAGAAGAAGAAGAAGAGGAGGAGGAGGAGGAGGAGGAGGAGGAGGAGGAGGAGGAGGAGGAAGAAGGAGAAGAAACAGTCAACTACATTTCCTGGAGGTCTTGGCCTGGACTAGTATTGAAAATTCCCTGGAAGTTGGTTTGACATCACATGGCCCAAAGCCTTCATGTTCTGCATACACAGTTCATACTTCTGGTGTGGCCCGTCCCACATTGAATCACCTAACAATGACACTCCTTGAGATTAGTTGCAGAGAAAGTCTAGTGCTTTCTGTGACCCCAAATTCCTTACTGTACATATGGGAACAATTAATATGTCAAATGTTCATTCAGGTAAAAGATGTGATATCTGGAGGCTGAGGCAAGAAGATCTCAAGTTCAAAGCCAACCTCAGCAATTTAGTGAGGTCCTAAGCAACTCAGCAAGACCCTGTCTCTAAATAAGAATATTTTTTTAAAAGGGCAGGGAATATGGTTCAGTGGTTAAGCACCCCTGAGTTCAATCCCCAATACCAAAAGAAAGAAAGAAAAAGCTGTGATATCTGAAAATGCATTAAATTTCTTGAACTTCAAATTTTTCAAATCTAAACTCTCAGTGATCATATAATGCATTTCTATCTATCATGTTGTCAAATGTATTGTTTTGTTTTTGTTTTTGTTTTATGAGGTGGTGACTTGGGGGTGCTTTACCCCTGAGCTATATCCCCAGCCCTTTTTATAATTTTTGAGACAGGATCTTGATAAGTTGCCAAGATTGGCCTCAAACTTGCAATCTTCTGCCTTAGTCTCCCAAGTAGCTGGGATTACAAGTGTATGCCACTATGCCCAGCTGTTAAATTTATTTTTAAGAGAGACTTGGTCTCTCTTAAACAATGACTTGCTGGTCATTGTTTTCCATCATATTTTTTTAAAAAAGCTAAAAATACTAATATGTAAAGAAGCCTGATCTTAGCTTCCCTCTGGATAGTATTGAGTTCCTCTTCTTCTACCTGCTTCCTTCTCTCATTTTTCTTTCTTAAAATCACATTTAATATGGCTTTCATTCATTCCCATCTTATTTCTTCCCAACACGCAGAATACAATTTTGTTTACTGAATGAATACAATAAGTGACTGAGAACAATTCAATATATCTGAGTTAATTAATTTAAAAATCAAGTGCTAGGTACAGTGGTGCAGGCCTATAATCCCAGTGGCTCAGGAGATGGAGGCAGAAGGATTGTGAGTTCAAAGCCAGCCTCAGCAATTTATCGAGGCCCTAAGCAACTCAGTGAGACCCTGTCTCTAAATAGGCAAAAAAGGGCTGGGGGTGTGGCTTAGTGGTTAAGTGCCCCTGAGTTCAATTCCTGGTACCTGCTCCCCAAAAAAGTAAAAATGCCATATAAGAGGGAGTCCTTCCGTGGCATCAGGATTAAAGAAGACTCTGGTGCATTGAGTTGTTGTCTGCATTTCTTCACCTCTTGTACATCCCACCACCACCATACCTATAACTTTGCAGTTAACTCCCACTAGAGGCAGAATGGACTTCACTCCCCTGCCCAGGGCTTTGGCCTGGTATATGTGACTTGCTTTGGCCTGTGCTGTTAGCAGAAGAGAGACAGAGGCTCACATTGTGCCTGTCCTCTTGTGCTTCTATCTTAGCTATGAGAAGAGCATGCCCCAGTGGTACCCAGGAGAATGCAGGGATGTGGAGACATGGCCAAGGGTGCAGCTGGGAGCCCTGCCCGCCTGGACCTGCTCCCCGCATATAGTGACAACTTAGAGATTGCTGCTCTAAGCTGAGGAGTTGTTTTGTTTGTTTGTTGGTACTAGGGATTGAACCTAGGAGTGCTTAACCATGGAGCCACATCCAGGGTCCTTTTTTGTATTTTATTGAGAGACAGGATCTCACTGACTTGCTAAATGCCTCACTAAATTGCTGAGGCTGGCTTTGAAATCTTGATCCTCCTGCCTTGGCCTCCCAAGTCACTGGGATTACAGGCGAGCACCACCTGGCCTGGCTAGCTGAGGAGTTTTGAGTTGAGGCAAATTATTCCCCAGCACTATCACAGCCCTACCTAGTCCCAGGATAATTATGGGAGATGGTTGAAATTGGTATCTATAGTTCCGTTTTCTCCCAGCTGGTTTATTATCATCCTCTTCCACAAGTTCCAGCTTTTCCTTTCCAAGAAACAGTATCTATATTTCTCTTTTTTCCCAAAGCCATTTGAGAGGGTTGGGGTTTCATATTTGCCGTGTTCACTCACCAGTGAGTGATTTCGATAATGTGTTAGGTGAGTCATTCAGAGACACTCTACATGCAGATGCCACCTGGAAGGAAGTCTGCTGTACAAAGACTGCAATAACACGTACTGAAAATATATTTAGTGTCGTGTGTGAGTGTTCTATGCATGCCTTTGAAAGAAACCGTCGGAGGTCAGCTGAGAGTGTCAAAAGAAAAAGGGATTCCAATTTTATAGGGCTTTAACCTTTATTGAGCTTTCTGAAAATATTTTTTTTAATTTATTAAATGTTTAAAAGAAGGTTAAATTGAATAAATTTATTTTCTACTGTAAAGTAAGTCTCTAGGCAAAAAAAAAAGAAAGAAAAAAGAAAAAGTAATGATAATCAGGATAAAGCAGGAAATCAGAAGATGACTAAATTATGTATAAATAACCATTGTACATTAACAAACCAAATTCATAAAGATCAGATCTATCCTTTTCCTTTGATTTTTCTACGGTTTCTTTTCACATTTCCTTATGGATTATTTTTTTTCTTCCTTCCTCCCTCCCCTCCTTCCTTCCTTCATTTTATTTGTTTGTTTGTTTGTTTATATATACCAGGGATTGAACCCAGGGATGTTTAACCACTGAGCTGTATCTCTGGCCCTTTTTAATTTTGAGACAATGTCTTGTTAAGTTGCTTAGGGCCTTGCTAAATTGCTGAGTCTGGCTTTGAACTTGAGATCCTCCTGCCTTAGCCTCCCAAGCTTCTGGGATTACTGGCATGAGTGGCCACCACACCTGACTGCCTCTTCTGTTTTAGACCACATCCTTGGCTATCCAGTGTGAGTCATCTGTAGCTGGTCAACTTCTCCAGCTAGCTGCCCTCTTCCTCCCTTCCACAGGGGCTTTTATGCAGAAGACAGCATATGTGAACGCTGCAGCTCTCCTTGCCAAACATGTGTGGGAAATGCCACCCACTGTCATTCTTGTGAAGGAGGCCTTGTCCTGGACCGGGGAGTGTGCCTGAAAGCCTGTCCTGAGAGGCACGTGGCTGTGGAAGGAGTGTGCAAGCACTGCCCAGCGATGTGTCAGGAGTGCATCCATGAGAAAACATGCAAAGGTACCTGGCTACATCCCAAAGGCAGGGCATGGCCCCAATTAGCCCTCATGGCTCGGAGCCACTACCTGTAGATAGTTGGGGGCAGGGAGGGGTGTCAAAGAGAATTGTGAGAACCAGTCTCTCTGCCTTTACCAACATTTATCTATTTCCAGACCCATTGTTGAGGAAATTGAGGATTCTGCAAATTAAGACAAACAGCATTTCTCACACTCACACATAACGGGTACACAGTGCTAAGCACTATCCCATGCTAGCAATATAGATAAGAACTAAAAGATCCCACTGTTTTTGTTGCTGTTGTTGATGTTGCTGCTGTTGTTGCAATGGGATTTGATTGTGGAGCCCTGCAGCTAAGCTACATCACCAGCTCTTTTTTAATTTTTATTTGAGACAGGATCTCATTAAGTTGCCCAGGCTGGTCTCAAACTTGAGATCCTCCTGCCTCAGCCTCCCACCTAACTGTGATTACAAGCATGCTCCACCATGCTTGGCTGTTCCTACTCTTTTAGCGCAGAATCTTACCAGAGACTGATTATTAACAAAGTACAGAGATAGTTAGGGAAATACAATTATTATAAAAAAACAAGAAAGAAGACTGAGAATAGCACTCTGGCTATGAACAGTTTTTTTTTTTTTTTTTTTTCTTTTTCCTGTAGTATTATCCCCTAAGAAACATTATCCAATTTCCTCTCCAAAATACCACAGACTCAACTTGCCTGGTGCGGCCCAATCCAGAGGATTCTCTTGGTGTGGCCTAAAGTGTTCTCTAGTCTTCCTCCCCAAATAGGAAAAGGAACACAAATAAAATTAATCCACAATGCATTCTTCATACTGATTAATCAGCTACTCACAGATCTACTCTGTTAATGAATGAAAAATTAACTAATCCAACAATCCCCAAACTGCCTTCTGTATTGAATAGAGTGTGAGATACTTGGTACAATTTTTATCCATTTATTATTTATTTATTTTTCAGTCTGGAGGTTGAACCAGGGCCTCATACATGCTAGGCAAGATCACTGAGCTACAACCCCAGGCTTTGATACAATTTTAAATATCTGTTATTGTTTTCTGGATTTTAACAATACCTTCAGTGTCCCAGTCATCACTGTTTGCCACAGCACTGTTTTTTTTTGTTTGTTTTTTTTTTTTTTTTTGCATCTCAAAGGGTCATTGCCACACATAAATCCAGGATTATCTAATCAGGCTACCATGTGCAGCCTCCCCCACCCAAGGCAGGGCTTGTTAGACACTGAGCATATACTCTTCAGGGTGGGGATGGGGCAAATGTATAGTCAGATCAAATAAACCAAAGTGGTGAGAAATGGGCTAGCCCACTGCAAAAGCAGTGAATTCCTTTCTCTAATCCCTGAGGATAATTTACTCCCTCCTCCTTCCCCCAGAGTGCATGCCTGGCTTCTTCCTGCACAAGGACATGTGCCAACAGTCCTGCCCCCAGCACTTCTACCAGGACTTGCACCAGTGTATCCCCTGCCATGAAGATTGTCTGGAGTGTAGTGGCCCCAAGGAGGATGATTGTGAGCTCTGTGCTGACATTTTTACGGTCCTCTACAATGGACTGTGTTTGAATGAGTGTCCATCAGGAACTTACTATGAAGAAAAGACTAAGGATTGCAGAGGTAAAGATTTCCAGGATGCATGGCCCAGCGCAGCATCCCAGGGATCCTAAAGAGATGGTTTCTGCCCAGACAAAACAGGCTCTGGAGATTGCATAATCCCCATCCCAGAGTTTAGTCCCCCCCTTAACCTTCCCATTCAAAAAAGCCTCTTTTGAATCTGTTCTCATTAAATTTTTAAAAATGAGTAATTCATAGGTTTTGATCATGTCAACTTCATTAGTTACAAATCACATAGACCCTTACCCTAATGGTGGATATGAACTGCCAATCAAAAAGGATTCTCATGTGAAGATTTCCGATAGAGATGAGGAGCCTTCAAAAGTCACCCTAAATGGAAAATTTTCCTTAAAATTTTAAGCCATTATAGAAGTTCATAGCATAAGTAAACCATGTTGCAGAATTCTCTCCATGCCTTTTGCCTCTCTTCATGGTTTGCCTTCTGGCTGCTCCCCTCCTTCCATTCTTACCCAAACCCCCGTCCCATCTCCCACTCAGCACTCCAGTTCCTACACATTCAAGAAAGGATCTGCTATTATTTGTATCTCCTTACATTTTAATGGAACGTGGGTAATTTGCCTCATTAATTGTCAGGGAACAGAAAAATAAAGTATCCAGTGCTAGAGAAATTCTCAAGGGAGAGAAGTGTTTCCCAAAGTCCCAGGATGACTGCCCACACCTTTCGTGAGGCACTGGGACAGAATAAGCAAGAGCTCTTGTTAAGAGCCACCATTCAGCTCCTGAGCCTATCCTTTCCCAGTCGAGTGACTCAGCATCTCCAGCTACAATTTCCTGGTACAGATGAAAGGAGGTGATAATAATAACAGTGATAATAACACAGATCTATTCACCTAGGAAGTACTTGTCAGAGATTGCTTTGTGCTGGCACTCTTCTGGGCCTGGAAAACAATACAGATAGAATCCTGTCCTCAGGGAGCTGACATTCTATTGGGAAGACAGACACTAAGGAAGATAATTCAAGCAAAAGAAATAATAATAATAAGATAGGGAAGGGGGATAGGAAGATGGGCAAGGTGGAATTGAAACTTGAAAGAAACTGACCTATGAAATATCACTGAGAGATAGAGGGAACATATATGTCATATGCATATGAATACATATGCATATGTCTGAGAAAAGAAAATTCTAGGCAGAGGGAATGACAGCTCCTAAAACCTGGAAGTGAGAGTGAATTGTTCTCGTTTTGTTTGGCTCACAAATATTTACTGAGTGCCCGTTATATGACAGGCCCTCTCATGGGCACTGTAGATTAAGGAAAGGATATGACAGAGGCCTTTTTTTGTCAGTGGGTAATTATAATTTTATCCCAACAATAGCCATATAAGTGGTAAACTAAATGTACTGTGAGAGGTGAGCAGTAGAGGGTATGATGGTTGGAAAGGCCACATGCCAGTGTATGACCACACTGTTCAGGATTGCTTGCCATTATTTGGCTGTAGTTGGGATAATCATGTAAACCTTACTGATATTTCTGCGTTGGCCACTGCAGGAAGGAGCTCTCTGGATATTACAGAGAAAGCCTTTATTTTTTACCTCTCATTTTGCAACAAGAATGCTCCACCCCAGAGCCTAAAGTCTATTCCCAATTCATGACCCTATACTTTAGGCACAAAACCCTAGAAGTCTCTAGAAGAAAGGAATCTGTTCCCTAGAGGAGTACACTGGCTTTGTCTGAGTATCTGCTTCCCCACATGCCCACAGATTGCCACGAGTCCTGCCACACCTGCTCGTCTTACAGCGTCTGCACAAGCTGCCAGGAAGGCCTGAGGTTGAACAGCCATGGGGCCTGTGTGGCTCACAAGGAATGTGCCCCCATCGAGTACTGGGATGAGACAATGCACAGGTGCAAGCCCTGTCACAATAAATGCTTCCACTGTACAGGACCCGCAGAGGACCAGTGTCACACCTGCAGGGGGGACAACCTTCTTCTCAGTGAGTGACTTCCCTCCACTCCAAGAGGCCTTTTTCTCTCCCTCTGGGAAACTACCTGGCACCGTGCTGGGTGCCCAGTGGACATTGGCTTCTTTTTAATTTTTTTTTAACTTTTGTTTGGGAAATTTTCAAACCTACAGAAAAGATACAAGAATGAGAATAGTACAAAGAACATCATACATATGTCTTTTACCCAGTTCACCCACTGCAAATCTTTTCCCCCTTTGCTTTATTATTTTCTCTCCTCCGTGTGTGTGTGTGTGTGTGTGTGTGTGTGTGTGTAGGGATATATTATCTATACACACTTTTTCTGAACCATTTGGAGGGTAAGTTACCTACATTGTGGCCCCTGTCCTACAAGGACAGTTTTTCATATTTCCTAAGCTTATAGATACTTTCTTATCTAATCACAGGACAGTTGCCAATTCTAATAATTTTACATTTATACAGTACTTTACTATTTCCATTAAATTTTTTCCAACACCCCTTTATAACAGAACTTGTTCCACAATCAGGCATTGCATTTTGCTTCCAAGTCGCCTTATCTTCCTTTACTCTGGAATGCTTCCACAGACTGTCTTTGTATTTTATAATATTGATATTCCAGAAAAATACAGCTCCTATTCCTCCTCTTGAGTTGGTGTGCAGTTTCCCCATGATTAGACTGAGAGGATTCTTTCTCAGTCAGAAGAGGTGATGTCCTGCCATCTGAGAATCATATCCAGATACATATGATACCCACTTGCCCCTCATCGGTGATGTTAATTAACACTGACCATCTGTCTAGACGTTTATTTTCTCTACTGCATAACTACTATTGATTCCCTTGTAATTAATAAGTAGTCTGTGGAGAGAATGCATTAAGAACATGTAGACATTCAACTCCTCATCAAAATTTCCCCCTTGATTTATCATCCATTAATAAATCCTGAACAATGTGTGGTGCAATCCCAGGTGGGCTGCCTCCAGATCAGCTCTGAAGGTGATTGCTGGTATGAGACTGTGTTCTCAGGTTTCCTGGATGCCATGATTAGACTAAATACAAGCCCGGAGGAGCTACACTTAAAGAAGGAGTTGGAATGGAGAGAAGAAAGAGACAAAGAGAAAGACAAAGAGAAGACTAGAAAGTGTTGGACTTGTCTTCCCAGTCAGTAGAGTAGACCTGAGAAGTGAGGTACTCAAAGTTCACATAGATAGCAAGTTTTTCCACTTCTTGCTGAGATATCACCTTCCAGGGCAGTGTTCTCCTACTAAGACACAGGCACATCTATGCTCAATACCAATCCTGACCACCTGACCACAGAACACACTGAAGTCAGCAGTCTTTTCAACCCATTCATCTTAGTTCCTGTTATACAAAGCTCAGTAAATTTCTTCCCCAGCCTTTGCTTCTTCATGGAAATATCTCATCCAACCAGATCTCCCATATAATCAACCATTTTGACTTTCTTTTCTAATTACCTCTAATCTGCAGTGCCACTGATGAGTCTGTTAGATGCCTTCACAGACAGTGATCTTTCCTTTAACTGGGGATACAGATTAAGCAAGAATTGAGCCTGCAGTACTGGTGCATAACAAAAGAGATGTCCCCAACAGCTGAGGACAGGAGTTGCCCAGGCCTGGCCTTCTCACACTCGCCCATCCCACCCCACTCCACACACCACCAGGGTCAGGCTATTGTAAACTACATGGTTATTTGGAGGATGGGGCAGATTGCCTGATGCTGCCCCTGAAGATGGCAATCCTAATCCCCAGATCCTCTAAATAGATTGTCTTCCAAGGTAAAAGGAACTTTGTAGCTGAGATTTAATGAAGGCTCTTAGCATGGGGAGATTCTCCTGTGTTCCCCAGACAGGCCCAATATAATCACAAAGGCTAGTAGAGAAATGCAGGAGGATCAGAGTTCCTAGTATAAGGCAGTTAATGACAGAAGCAGAGGAGTAGTGGGGGGAAATGCTGGAGTAGTGGAGTAGTGGGGAAAGATGGAGGAGAAGCCCAGGAGCCCAGGACTACAGGAACTCTCTGGAAGGTGGAAAAGCCAGGAAGCTCTTTCTACTCTAGAACCTCTAAAAGGAACTCAGCCTTAAGGATGCAGTTCAGATTACTGGCCTCCATAACAGTAAGATAATACATTTGTGTTGTTTTCAGACATCAAATAGGTGGTAATTTATTACTGCAGCAATAGGATATAGTACAAATATCTTCTTTAGGGGATTTGGGCTTCCTCTTGGTGACAGTATATACCAGCTGGACAATGAACCATTGTCACATCTATAGTCATAAAACTGTGGTTTCTGTTCTACCAATACAGACCACTCTGACCTCTGATTTCTCTGAACCCCTATAGCCTTTTGGTCAATTCTATTTCTTGAACATTCGTCTTCACTCCAAAGTGTCTCCAGCACAGCCCACAGGGGCACTGTCTTTTTCCCCTTGCACTTCCTCTCCCTCTTTCCAGGCAAGAGGAGGTGTGGGAGCCACAATCGGGCTTGATTCCAAACACTCTTCTCCTCCCTTGACAGACACCACCTGTGTGCAAGACTGCCCAGAGGGCTACTACGCCAGGGACAGCCACCTGTGCGCGCCCTGCCACATCTCTTGTAGGACCTGTGATGGGAGTCACAGTACACAGTGCCGCTCCTGCCGACCGGGTTGGTTCCAGCTGGAAAATGAGTGCTTGCTCCAATGCAGAGAGGGGTAAGATGCTCACCACGTGTGTTCATCTGCTTTTTGTTGCTGTAACCAAAATGCCTGACAAAGGAAACTTAGAAAAGGAAAACTGTATTTTGGGCTCAAGGTTTTGGTAGGTCAGTCCATGGTGGGCTGAGTCCACTGCTCTGGGCCCAAGGTGAGGCAAAGCATCATGGCAGAAAAGTGTGGAGGAGGAAGGTTGCTTAATTCATGGCAGCCAGGAAGCAGAGAGAGAGAAGAGAAGGGGCTGCAAGAAGATGAACCCTTGGTCATGCTCCCAGTGACCCATCTCCTCCAGCCACACCTCACCTGCCTACAGTTTCTACCCAGTCCCTTCAAATAGGTACAGCTCTCAGAACCCATTTACTTCACCTCCAAACATTCGTGCACTAATACAGGAGTTTAGGGGAGCACCTCATATCCAAACCATAACAACCCATTTCTTCAGCTAACTCTTCAATCACTCCAGATACAAAACCATTTTGCACATGTGGAAACAAAGACTCTGAACACAAATGAAGTCAGATTTAATTCTCACTACTAGTAAGGAGCAAAGGTGAGCCCACTCACATGAATAGAAGAGAAACAGGAGACACAGAGTGACCCAGTGAGAGAATACAAAGGGTCTGATGGTCAAATCAGACTCATGTAAGCTATCGATCTTACCCAATGCGCAGCCTTGCTGATAGCCATAAGGTATCAGCACTGCCAAGGCAGAGGCAACAACACCTTCCTTCCTCAGAGAAGCCCAAGACTGTTAATGGATGTTCTTTTTCTTCAGTTTTAGGATTTGTTTTTTTTTTCTTTTTTAATTTATTTTTTTATTGGTTGTTCAAAACATTATAAAGCTCTTGGCATATCATATTTCATACATTAGATTCAAGTTGGTTATGAACTCCCAATTTTACCCCAAATACAGATTGCAGAATCACATCGGTTACACATCCACATTTTTACATAATGCCCTATTAGTAACTGTTGTATTCTGCTACCTTTCCTATCCTCTACTATCCCCACTCCCTCCCCGATTCAAGCTTAATATGCAGGATCTAAGCTATGCAAATAAATCATTGATTTTACAAAAGAAACAATTCCGTTAACATCTACATTTATACCCCATTAATTCTGCAATCTGTCAAACCTCCCATAAATCCACAAATACAGGATTAGTTATCATACGCATCCTAGATACATCTGATGTATCCTTCTGGAAGCATTTCAGAGATAAAGAGTGTGTTTATCAGAAGGTCTGGTAACAAGCATAATTGGAAGAGTGTAGCTGGATTTCACACACACACACACACACACAGGCATCCCAGTAAAGAGAAAGGTTGATTATAGACATGTTGCTCACTGCTTCCCAAGGAAGAACCTAGGACACTGAGAATTTCCAGACCCTGATTGAAGGGCTCTATCCTTGGACTTTCCCTAAAGTCTTTCACCCAAATTGGCACATCTATTCTTTTCAGTCATAGCAATCTCTACTTATTTCATCTGTTATAGTGCTATATACCACCTTACATTTCTATGTATCTTCTTCCTTCACTCACTCATTTATTAAATACATATTCAATTAGAGCACATTATTTGTTTGAATAATGTGAGTTAAGACAAATTTTGTTCTTTAAGACCTTATTCTTATTCCTGTATGTCTTTCCAAGAAAATTATAAGCTCCTGGGGGGTCCGGGGGAACTCCTACTCTTATACTACTACAACATTCCATGCAGAATTATAAACATTAGAAGCTCTTGAAAAACACCAGCTGTGTGGGTCAGTGAAGAAAGGACCTTACCAGACAAGAGTGGGGGTGAGCCTACCTGTTTCACCCTTCCACTTTACCCTAAGAAGGATGTATAAAGATCTGGATCCCATGTCAAGAATCTCCATCTTTCTCATATGCAGTTTTTCGTTACTCTTAAGTACATACACACTAAAAGAGGGGTGTGATCCTGTGATCTAAAGAGAATGCAGACCATGGGATTAAGAAAATGGTCCCACCATGTATGAAGTTACCCAAGGGAGAGGAGGAGAAGCATAGGTTTCTGTGGACCTCTTTAATGTGGAAGAATTGGAGAAAAATTTTTTAAGAACAAAAATTATTTTTTACTCATACACCACTCCCATGATAAGCTCATATCTTAGGAAACATAACTTGCAATAAATATACTCCAAAGGCAAAGTTATGTGAAGGAGCATTAGGTTCCTTCATGAATCAACATTGGTAGACTAACTTCCTACCAGAAAGACAAGCCTGAGTGCTTACTGTTTGGGGGCAGCTATGGTGGGAATTAGGGAAACACAACAATTCCTTCGAACTCTTTCTTGCTTGGAGCAATGAGCGTGTCTCCAAGCTGGTATTGACAGGGTTTCAAGTGATTCAGTCCATGGTCTACGGACTCTGTTTCTCTGGACCTGCAATGAGGCAGAACATTAAGGTGGAAGGGCATAGGATGGAAAGTTCCTTAGTTCATGGTAGCCAGGAAGCAGAGAAAAAAACTGGAATATTGATGAAGTAGCATTCCTTTTGTAAAATCAGTGTTCTGCATCATGATATGAGCCTTGTGTGTTAAATCTCTTTGTCTTGAAAAGGCAGGTATATGATTCTCTGTGTCTCAATACAATAATGATTCTGATGTTTAGCCTCACAGAGGGTTCTCTAACTTTCATGTTTCTGTCTGTGTTTATGCATAAGATCCTCCCCAAGGCTCTGAGGATCAAGAGATTTCACAATCCCCTCATCTTAAACCACTGCTTAAGATGAGTATTTAAGATAAGTCTTCATCTTAAGCAGTGATGTTGGAGTCTTCTTTCAATATGATCCATAAAACTCCCCACTGCCTTTCTTTTAGCATAACTCTTTGATAAATTTTAAAACCTATTTAGAATTGATCAGTCTTCCCTCACCATGGTTCCTCTTGATGCTTCTCATCTCTATAAATGATGAGAAGAGAGTTTACTAAGCATTTCCACTCACAATGTATCTTTACATTATGATTTGATTTCACAATGGTCTCATGAGGTTGGTATTAGTCTATTCAGTTTTGTTTTTGTTGTTGTTTTGTTTTATTTTTGCAGAGTTGGGGATCAAACCTAGGGCATCATGCATGCTAGGCAAATGTACTACCAATGAACTACATCCCTAGCCTTTCCTTAATTTCTCCATTTTACAGATTAGGAAACCAAGGCTCAAGAAGTTAAATGACTTGCCCATGCTACAGTGATACATGCATAGCAATGTTAATAGCAGTGCAATTCACAATAGCCAAATTATGGAACCAGCCTAGATGTCCATCAGTGGGTGAATGGAAAAGGAAAATATGCTAAATATACACAATTGTATTTTATTACCATAAAGAAGAACAAAATATTATCATTTGCAGGAAAATGGATGAAACTGGAGAAAATCAGGCTAAGAGTAAAAAGCCAGACTCTAAAACTCAAGGATCACATGCATTCTCTCATATGTGGAAGCTAGAGAGAAAAAAGGAAAGAAAGAAACCTTGTGAAAATTGAAGAGAGACCACTAGTGGAAAGGGGGTTGAGGCAGGAGGAAGGGAGGAAAAGAGGAGATGCAGATACAGAGAATGAAGCAAAATAAACTATGCCATGTTCATGTAAGAATATATCACAATGGATCCCATTATTATTATATCATTATAATGTACCAATAAAAATAAGTTTAAAATTTTAATCTTCAGCCTGGAAAGGTGGCACATACCTGTAATCTCAGTGACTCAAAAGGCTGAGGCAGGAGGACCAAGGATTTGAGGCCAGCCTCAGCAACTTAGCAAAGTCCTAAGCAGTTTAATGAAACTAAAAAATAAAAAGACTGGGGATGTAGCTCAGAGGTTAAGGGCCCCTGGATTCAATCCCCAGTACCAAAATAATAATAATCATCATCATCATCATCATCATCATCATCATCATCTCGTTTGGAAGCTAGAGAGGAAAAAAGAAAAGAAAAGGAGGGGCAGGGATCTCATGAAAATCAAAGAGTGATCAGTAGAGTAGAAGAAAGGGACCAGGGAGAGGAAAAGGGGAAATAATGGGGAATAAATGATATTATCCAAATTATATTGTTATACTGTGTGCAGTGGTACAAATATATAACAACAAAGCATACCATTATGTGCAATTTAATGCACCAATAAAAATATAGGAAAAAAATTAATCTCCAAAAGTCTTTTCAAAGGAGGTTACATCTATTTGGTAAAGGTTAATTTCACTACATGTCACTTTCTATTTCAAGATGCTTTTTAAGTTAAGAAGAACTACTCAGAGGTCCATGTAAAAATGTCTTCCATTCCCCAATCCCATTCAACACAGCTTAAAGGTTGAATCTGGAGCAGTGAATAGAAGAAAAAGACAGAAGTAGCTCATCTTTCCCTAGGTGTTATCCAGTATAATCTTCACAGCTAGCAAGCAACGGATTATAATGCCCACTTTACAGATAAGAAAACTGAGAATCATTAAATTTGCTAGTATCATAGAAATGAATTTAATGAGTAAAGTTAAGTAAAGAGACTAAAGTCACCCAGCTTGTAAATGAATCCTGTATGACTCATTGTGTTTTTTCACCACACCTAATTTAGGAGCAAAGATTAGTACAATCAGCCCTTCACATCTGCAGGTTCCACATGGAATCAAAGATGGAAAATACTTTTTAAAAGAATTGCATCTGTACCAATAGTGTACAGACCTTTTTTCTTGTCATTATTCCCCAAATTATGTAGCATGACAACTATTTATTTAACATTCACACTGCATTAGGTACTGTAAGTAATTTAGAGATGACTTAAAGTATAAAGGAGGATATTTGTAGGTTATATCCAAATGCTACCCTGTTTTATAGAAAGGACTTGAGCCTTCAATGTGTTTTAGTATCTGTGGTGGGTCCTGGAACTAACCCCCTGCAGATACCCAGGGACGGCTGTATTCCATCTTCGCTCCTCTTGCTTTCAGATATTATGCAGAAATCTCCACTGGCCAGTGTAAGAGGTGCCACAAGAGCTGCAAGGCATGCCGGGGTCCACAGCCCACAGACTGCCTGTCTTGCGATACCTACTTTTTTCTGCTCGCCTCCAAGGGAGAGTGTTATCGCACCTGCCCAGAGCATTACTATGCAGAAGAAAACACCTGGACCTGTGAGAGATGTCATCCGACTTGCAAAAAATGCAAAGGTGAGAGTGGATCTGTGTTTTTGCACATGCAAGAGGGAAAGTGGAAAGGTTCCCTTTCTGTTTTGTCCCTGTCTCCCTCCTCCCCACCTTTGGCAGTTCCTCTGTTTCCCAACCTGGTGCCCAGGCATCAGCCCTCTCTGTTCAGTCAGCCTCTGCATCTTCCGGTGACGTCTTGCTGCGCCTTCAGATTCCTCATTCTTTAAGGCCCAGATACAGGTATGGTCTCCTCTAGGAGTGTTGTCACCTCGTCCATCTTCCTTCTCCACCTGTTGCATTTGCCTAGGGAAGTTCAATATTTTCTTCACTCTAAGAACTCCCTAAGACATCTGCCTCAAACTCTCCCAAGCCCCATTCCTATTTTCCAGATACCTACTTGTTTGTTGCACAGATTCTTAAAATCAGTGCCAGTTCTCCCATTGCCCAGGGTAACACCTTGAAGTTATCCTTGACTCTTCTTTTTCCCTTGCTTCCTGTCTATCTCCAACAGTTCCACCCCAAGAGCTGTTGTCCCATCTCCTAAATATTCCTCTTAATATTATTCTCCTTCTCCATGTTCATTGTCCTCATTTTCCATTTTTAACATTTGTTATCAGACCTTTGAAGTAGCCAACAAGTCACGCTGACCTTTCCTTGCTCCCAAGGCATCCTGAACACAGTGCCTGAGTGCTCATTCTGAAATTCACATTTGCCCATTTACTCCATATCCTGCCATAACAAGATGATCACAGTGAATCATTCTCTTTTTATTTAAATATATATATATATATATATTTAATTGTAGATGGACACAATACCTTTATTTATTTATTTTTATGTTGTGCTTAGGATTGCCCAGTATCTCACATGTGCAAGGCAGGTGCTCTACCACTAAGCTACAGCCCCAGCCCACAGTGAATTAATTATTCTTAACATGTGAGAAATAAATGCTTCTGTAATGTTTTAATTGATAAAACTTTCTATGTAAGTATTAACGACTGGTAAGGTACATAACTGTTCTGCTTTAAAATTATCTCAGATAGATAGATAGATAGATAGATAGATAGATAGATAGATAGATAGATAGATAGATGATAGATCTTTTTTTTTTCTTTCCAGTAGTGGGGATGGAACCCAGGGGTCTCAACATGCTAGGCACATGCTCTACCTCTGAGCTATATCCCAGCCCTTTTTAGTTTTTGGTTTTGGTTTGTTTGTTTATTTCTTTTTTTTTCTAATATTTATTTTTTAGTTCTCAATGAACACAACATCTTTGTTTGTATGTGGTGCTGAGGATCGAACCCCGGCCGCACGCATGCCAGCTTGAGCCACATCCCCAGCCCATTGTTTGTTTATTTCTTCAGTAGTAGGGATTAAATAAACACTGAGATGCATCCCTAGTTCTTTTGAGATAAAGTCTCAATGAGTTACACAGCTGGCCTCAAACTTGGGATCCTCCTGCCTGAGCCTCCTGAGTCTCTGGGATTACAGGCATGTGTTACCATGCCCAGCTTAACCCCAACTATTTTTGGTTTTTATTTTAAAACAAGGCTTCATGAAGTTGTCCAGGCTGACGTCAAACTTGTAATGCTCCTGTCTCAGCTTCCCAAGTCACTGAGATTACAAGGCATATGCCACTGCATCCAGCTACTATTAAAAAAACTCTGTAATCAGTTGCTTCATTTTTTAAAATGCTTTCAATATTGATGGGCATTGCACTGAATTTTCTCTGGAAGAGACCCTTTTTGTGTCCCTAAGTCATCCCGTTTGTGAACATGCATTTATATACAGCCCTTCAATGAGCATGCAATCAATGTTGTCCCCTTTTTTTCCCATTGAGGCATCTTATTTGTATGTATGTTTTACTTTCCTAGAAAAAGAATCCCAGGATTTTCCCTCCTATGTGTTTTTGCCTTGCTTCTTTGTGGTCCATGATGCCAGTTGAGGCTGTCAATACAGTGAAACCAAACTGGCAGGATGGGAGCAGATCATTCTGCCATTTTTCTAGGTCTTTGAACTGCACATCAAATCTATAACTGACCCCTCCACACTTGTTTAACCTGCCTGTGAGGTTCACAACAACTTTCCTAGCTCTGTGGTCATTGATGATTTCAGATTCACCCATGTAACCAGACTTCATCATTATGGTTAGAAAATGGATGATGACTTTGAAGTACAGCCTAATAAGGATCTAGCACTTACCTCTCTTTTGGGCATTATTGATGCTCTTGAGAGCATCAGCCAGGACATTCATGCACACCGTTATGGAGACATGGAAATATGGCAGAAAGAGTAAATGTTCTTTATTTTTAAAGGTGCTTAAAATCTTTCTCCATTCAGTCTCTTAAATTTCAGTCTTCACCAGACATGGTGGCACATGCCTATAATCCCAGCAAGATTGCAAGTTCAAGGCCAGACTTGCTTATCAAGACCCTGACTCAAAATAAAAAATAAAAAGGGCTGGGAATGTGGCTTAGTGTGTAAGTACCCCTGGGTTCAATCCCCAGTACCAAAACAACAACAAAAACAGTAAACTTTCGTTTTAACTCTTCTTCTGTATATTCTAGACCCACCTGGGACTACACAGAGCCACTCTAGAGCCACCAGATGTGCTGTGCTCTTTCATGCCTCCTCGTTCCTCTTCCTGAGGAACAGCGCTCTAGGGAATTCTCAGAAACTCAGCTTGGACAACAGCTGCTCTGCGGAGCTTCTCTTAGTCCTCCCAAAAGTCATCTTCCTCCTTCTTCCTAATTCTGGAGTTGAACAATTTATTGCAGCAATTTTTTTAGATTTTAATTAAACACATCCTTCTCTCCTACTAATAGTTTCTCTAGTGTGAGCAAGGATTATACAACATTCATTTTGTGTCCCCTGCTTAGTCCAAAGTGCAACACATAGTAAGTGCTCATAAAGCATTGAATAAACGAATACACATGTAGGAAGCAAATTAATCCTAATGTCTTTTTGTAAATTGGAAAATGTTCAGCTATTAGATCTTCAGATATTGCTTCTCCATCCTTTCTTCCAACCTCCTTTTCTAGAACTCCTACTAAACATAATCTAGAGTTTCTTATTCTATCTTCTATGTCTCCTTCTTTATAGTTTATCTCTTTGACTGCTTATGACTTCTACTAGAATAATTCTTCAGCCTCTGTTCTATTTCCCCTCTGTTCTATTTCTATTTGTTTCTGAGTGTGTTTAGTCTAAATTCCACACCATTTATTATATTTAATTTAGGTGATTATTTTATTTTTAAGATATTAATCATTTATTTTTATGCCTATTTTAATTTTATATTTTCCTGTTTGTTTCATAATTTAATATATGTGTGGATGTTATGTCATTTATTTTTTAGTATCTTAAATATTAATTTTGAAGCTTTTGATAGACTTTTCGATGAAATTAATACTATCTGAAGTGAATTCATATTCTAATTGCTGAGTGTGGTTTGTGTGTATGTGTGTGTGTGTATGCACTAAGAATGGAGTCCAGGACCTTGCACAGGCTAGGCAAGCACTCCACCACTGAGCTGCATTTCCAGCCCTTGTTATCTTCCTTAACGTATTCTTTGGAGTGTTTGTCTTATGAGAGATTTTGTTTTGATTCTTTATTCTGCAACTCAGGAGGCTGAGGATCACAAATTCAAGGCCAGCCTCAGCAAATTAGTGAGACTCTGTCTCAAAATAAAAAGGTCTGGGGATATAGCTCAGCACCCCTGGGTTTAATCCCCAGTACCAAAGAAGAAAGAAAGAAACATTTTTATGGAGATTGGGTAAAACATTAGTGATATCATAAGCATAATTTGAAAAACTATACAATTTCTCAAATTGGGTTTCATATTTCCTGAATGATTTTAAGAATGATGGTTTTGAGCATTCCCAAGCTCAAAAGTTCATCAAACACAGTGTCCCTGATATAGTATTCCAGGGATTTCTGAGAGTGTTTGGGTGAATTCTGAAGACATCTGAGTGTTTGTGTCTTTTCCTAGATTTTGCTTAAACCCTGGAACTTGCCTATTTGAAGTTTTCTGTCTGTGATGCTCATTTGTTCTGTTATCCTTTCTTTTCACATCTCACCTGCCCTTGAATGGAGAATCTGGTGCTGTCCTCTCGTGCTGCAACATGTAGATTACAACATTTAGGGACAGGTTTTTCTATTAGGTTATAACTTGGGTAGAAAAACAAAGGGTAAATTCCTTCTAAAATTATTAACTATCATACTAAGAAATGAGGATGCTTGAGAATAGCAGAAAAAGTTTGGCAACCCCCCAAAAAAGATATTTGTCAAATTCTATTTCATTCTTTTTGACCAATATTTTTAGAGTCTTTTTGGGGGGGCGGGGGGGGTGGTTTGCTGAGGATTGAACCCAGGGCCTGTGCATGCAAGGCAAGCACTCTACCAACTGAGCTATATCCCCAGCCCTGACCAATATTTTTAGGATGTTAAAAAGAAAAATCATAATAGCACCAAGGACGGGGAGTGGGGAGACACAGCAAGCTCAGGCCTAATGTATACCTTTGTGTGCAACTGGTGCCTCCTTAATTAGTTCATTTCTTGCCTGTGCACACTTAACTTTTTAATTTATCCTCCTCATAAAATTGTTTGGAATAAAAATCCAGACTGGATAACCAAAGCCCCTAACTTTCCCAAGCTGCCCCTCTCTGTGTAGAGCGGTACGCACAGCCGGACCCAGGGGCTGGTCTGGATTTGTTGAAGGCATCCCAGGGGAGTCATTCTGAGGGAAAGCAGATGGTGAGCTGCTCTAAATTTTAAGGAAATGCCAAAATGCCTGTCTTTTCAGCCCCAGGGCTCCTTAGCAATAATAATAAATTTAGGGTCTTAAACATGAAAACAATAAAAAAAAAATCTGAAAATTAACAAACTTCACATTTGTGAAAGATTCTTTGTCCCTAAGTGTACAGGTTTTGCAGTAAATCAGTGTTGGGTATGTAAATAGTCACTGATCTGTCACCCTAAGATGACAGGTACTTTAGGTATTACCTCAGGTCTGGGCCATAGCCAAATTAGTAGGAGTGAGGGAGGAGAGTGGCCCTCACATAGTTGCAGTTAGACCAAGAGTAAGTTCCAGTGTTCCATTACACAGTGGGGTGACTATATAGTCAATAATAATGTATATTTCAAAATAGATAGAAAAGAGAATTTTGAATCTTCAAGTAAACAATAAATATTTGAGTTGAAGGATATACTATCCTGATTTGATCATTATATGATACACGTACATATGGAAACATCACATTGTACCTATAAAGTGTATAATCATATGTTGATTAAAAATAAAGTAAAGCTGGGCACAGCATCACACACGAGTAATCCCAGCCACTCAGGTAGCAAGACTGAAGGATCACAAGTTCAAGGCCAGCCTGGGCAACATTGCAAGACCCTCATTGTTATGGTTTAGATGTGTTGTTCCCCAAAAGCTCACGTGTGAGACAATGCAAGAAGATTTGGAGGAGAAATGATGGGGTTATAGCATTAATCTAATCAGTGAATTAATCCCTGGTGGAATTAACTGAGTAGTAACTGGAGGCAGGTGTGGCTTGAGGAAGTAGTTCATGGGAGCGTGGCGTGGCCATGGGTATATATTCTGTATCTGGAGAGTGGAGTGTCTCTCTCTCTGCTTTCTGATCACCATGTGAGCTGGTTCCCTCTGCCACACTGTTCCACCATGATGTCCTACCTCACCTTGAGCCCCAAGGAATGGAGCCATCCACTTATGGACTGAGACTTCTAAACCATGAGCCCCTCAATGAACCTTTCCTCCATTTAATTCGTTCTGATTGGGTCTTTCAGTGGCAGCAGCAAAAAAAAAAAAAAAAACTGACTAAAAAGAACTGGAGATGTATGTAGCTCAGTGGTATAGCACCCCTGGATTCAATCCCCAGTAAAAATAAATAATTAATTATTAATAATAAAAGACTCAGTGGTGGTGCAAATACTTGGCATAAGTAAGGTCCTGGGAACAATCCTGAACAACACTAAAAAGAAAAAGAAAAGAACTCATTGTAATGTAACTAATTTTAAAGTATAAATTTTGTGATCTAACCTTGTCCCTGCCTCCATCCCCCTTTTCATATCCTTAATTTAATTTACTATAAATTAACAAACTACAATTGCATGTATGGTGGGGTACAAAGTGATATTCATACACACAATGTGCAAGGATTAAATCAAGCTGATTAACTCATCATCCATCACCTCAAATAATTATCAGTTTTTGGACTAAATACATCCAAAATTACTCTCAGCAATTTTGAAATTTACAATACACTGTTATTAACCATGCTGTATAATATATCTCAAAAAATGTATGTCTCCTGACTAAACTTTGTACTCTTGACCAACATCGTCTAATTCCTCCCACCCCTGCAGCCTCTGCTGGTAGCCACTCTCTGCTTCTATGAATTCCATTGTTAAAGACTCCACATGTAGGTGAGATCACATGTCATCCTTAATTTCTCTTCATTAAAAACATAGATTTTTGGCTGGGCATGGTGGTGTACCCCTGTAATCTCAGCAACTCAGGAGGCTTAGACAGGAGGATCATGAGTTTAAAGTCATTCTCAGTAACTTAGTGAGGCACTAAGCAACCTAGGAAGACTTTGTCTCTAAATAAAATATTTTTTAAAAAATGAACTGGAGATGTGACTCTGTGGTTAAGCACCCCTGAGTTCAATCCCCTGTACCCGCCCCCCAAAATTAAATCTTGTATTTAAAAAGGTTAACAGTAAGACGTTTAAGCTTTATTTTAAAAAAATATGAGAAAATGAAGAGAGGATCACATACCACAATCGTGTTCCAGATGATACAAAAATTCTGTATAAAGCTAGAGCTAGAGCTACAGCCCCCAACCTGAGGAGATACATCTAAAGGTTTATTGTCTAAGTTATTGTTCAGAGCTCAGGATTCATTTTTGTATGGAAACAACAGTTCAAATTACTGAACTCACAAATAAGACAGGAAAAGTCAACTCCTTTTTGAATGTGAAGGACAGAACTCTTGGTTTTATGTCAAGTTCAACTAACCACCCTTCATAGCCTGGTCCTGATGGAAAGATATATTTCCCGTTGCTCAAGTTCCAACTCGAAACGCCAGGTACATTCTATGCCCACCTCTCTTACACTCATTCTTTGAAACTTTTAGCAGAAATGCCAGGGCCTTTCCTCATAACATGAACTAGAGTTCAGGTCTCCTGTCCCCCAAATTCTTTCCAGAAGCTGTCCCTTGATACTGCATAGAAGGAAATATTTGGATCCATCATTCTTGGGATGTATGCATTAGGAAAAGGAGGTGTTGCCTCCACAGGAAACAGTCAATAGGTTCAGACCTCTTCTGTTTGATGGTTCATATGTTAAAGTGGACAGTGTGGTAGAAAGAGCACTGGACTGTGAGTCAACAAACCTGAGTTTGAATCTTGACTATTAAAATTACCTAAGTAACCTTGGATGGTTGACATTGCATGTCCACATTTGCATGTATGTGAAAATAATAAATAGGACTAGGGATGTAGCTCAGGGGTAGAGAGCTTGCCTAGCACACACAAGGCCTTGAGTTCAATCCCCAGCACCAAAATAATAATAATCATCATTAATAAACAGGATAGGATTGGGGTGTGGCTAGCAAGCACAAGACCCTAGGTTTGTTCCCATCGTTGAAGAAATGAATATGTACTTGCAAAGAATGTCAATTTTTTCCCCCTGTCCTGCTGAGGATTAGAACCCAGGGCTTTGAACATGCCAGGCGAGTGCTCTATCACGGAACTACATCCCAGCTTCAGGGTGTTAAGATTTCTTTTTTTTTTTTTTAATTAATTAATTTATTTATTTTTTATTGTTGGTTGTTCAAAACATTACATAGTTCTTGATATATCATCTTTCACACTTTGCTTCAAGTGGGTTATGAACTCCCATTTTTAGCCCATATACAGATTGCAGAATCACATCAATTACATAGGAAAGGTAGGGTGTTAAGATTTCTAAGGAGAGATTTTATAGCCCTCAAGAGAATTTCAAAGGAATCTATCACCACTACCAGTCCCAAAATTAAGAATCTGGACAACATGATCTACTGAATATTTTTGTCCCTCAAACTTCAAATGAGTGCTGTCTGTATATTCATGACTTACTCAACACCAAGTACAAGGACCCTCCTCCAAATCAGCAGCCATCATCCTGCCCACTAGTTAAACAATAAACAGAAGGACAATTAATGATTTTATAAACTTTTTACATGATTTCTTATTCTCTGAAAATCTTTCTCTTGCTGTAATTAAAGATCTGTCATCCCCAATCTGCAGTTTCCAGCGGAGTCTGCCTAATTTGGACTAATTAGATAACACATAGGCCTTCACTTTGTCTTATAGGCTTTTTTCCCCCATATCCTCAAGCAGGTCATCTTTCTGCTTCAAATTCTGGGGTTCTTGTTTGTTTTTGTTACTGGGGATTGAACCCAAGGTCACCTTACCACTGAAGATTCATCTCTAGTCCTTTTTTAATTTTGAGACAGGGCCTTGCTGACTTGCTGAGGCTGTCCTTGAACTTGCGATCCTCCTGCCTCAGTTTCCTGAGTTGCTGGAATTATAGGTGTGCACCATTATACCTGGGTCCTGCTTCAATTTACTTGACATAGTCCTTGTTCTTTAGTGTCCCTGACCAGATGGGGGCACATGCCTGTAATCCCAGCAACTCAGGAGACTGAGGCAGCAGGATTGCAAGTGTGAGTCCCTAAGCAACTTAATGAGACAGTCTCAATGGCTCAATGGATAAGAACCCCTTGGTTCAATCCCCAGTACCAGGGGCGGGAAATGGAAAAGAAAGTCTAGAGATGTAGCTCAGTGGTAGAGCGCTTGCTTGTCATGTGCCAGATTCTGCATTTGATACCCAGCACACACACAAATACTACTACTACTACTACTACTAATAATAATAATAATAATAAAGGAAGGAAGAAGGAAGAAAGGGAAACTAAGGTTCAATCTAATAACTTGGAATTTTTTTTTTCTTTCAGGAAAAGGAGGATCAGATTGCTTGTCCTGTGTGTGGAACTACCACCTCATGGGTGGAATCTGCAACTCTGACTGTCTTGTGGGAAAATACAGAGTGGGAGAGGTACTGGAGAGCTGGGGCAGTGTGCTTTCTGCCATATATATATATATATTTGTACCAGGGATTTAACCCAGGGGCACTTAACTGAGCCACATTCCCAGCCCTTTTTATGTTTTATTTTGAGACAGGTTCTCACTAAGTTGCTTGGGGCCTTGCTAAGTTGCTGATGCTGGCTTTAAACTCACAATCCTCCTGCCTCAGCTTCCTAAATCGCTAGGATTATAGGTGTGTACCACCATACCTGGCTTTCTGCCCTATTTAGAGAGAATGTGAACTCAGTTTCTGCATATCATTCTGGGCAGTCAAAAAGTTCTAAAATTCCTACATTTACTATAATTTAGACCCAATATTGTGAAATCCTTCATGACATCATGAAATAATGGTGCCTGTAGCCTTTATGTAAAGCACAGAAATCTAGAAGATCTAAGATAAATAATGAGATGTAAAGTAATGAGGACCTCAGAATGAACCCTACATCTGTTATTCATGACCACAGAAGTTTCAGTCTTTGTAAGACTATTACATCAGAAATACAAAATCTCTTCTCTCTTACCCTCTGCTGTCTAACCAGAAACATCTGAGTAAAAGAGGATCCATGCTGCTGTTGATCTTTCATTTGCTCCACCTCTTCTGCACAATATATTCAGAAGGATCGAGATTTGCTTCCACAGAACACTTGGGTTTGCCAAGTATACTAATTTCTTGATTGTGCTTCCAACCTTTAGGAAACATGTAAATCTCTCCATGGTGAAATTAATACAAACGAATCTATTTGAATATAGGTGCTCTTTAAATTCTGACACCAGCTCTCATCACAGTTTGGAGAAGCTTAAGTTCATGGAGGTTAAGTAATTTTCTAAAATATCACAAGAATAGTAAATAACAAAGCTGGAACTGAACCCAGAGGATTTGATGAGATAATAACAGCTGAGAAAACAGTGTAGCAGTATCTAAAATATTCCAAGATGCTCAAGAAAGCAATTTTTTGGGAGGGTGCTGAGAACTGAACCCAGGGCCTTGCACATGCTGGACAAGTGCTCTACCATTGAGCTATACCCCCAGCCCCTCCGTTCGTCTTTTTCTATTTCACCATACTTGCAAAGTTACACAGGTAGAATAGGAAGGTATCTCTCCTGACCCACAATTCCAGCACCAAGCAAAGAACAACTTGTCAGGAGGGAAGCCACTTTTTTCTCATCTCTGGACTCTCTTCCTAATAAGATTTAATTGCTTTAGCTACATAGTCACAACTAACATCATTCTGGGTCCCAGCCACAAGAATCCAGTAATCAAGGAAGCTACACAGGTAACTAATGTACATGAGTGAAGGAAGGACACTGGGAGAACGAAAAACCACAGTTCCAGCTTGCTGGAAAGTGGAAATTGATGCATTACCTACGTGTTGGTGATATAATAGCAAATGCTGGGAATTGTGTCACACAGGAAAGCAAAAAAAAAAAAAGTGGGGGGCACTCAACTTTGTCAGTGACATGAACATGTTAAAATGATGAATCCAGTTGACAGGTCTTCTAGATTTTAAAGAGAAATTAGGAACTGATTTATATATGAAATATTCTACTTTTGAAATGTGAGAAATGAATGCAGAATGTTTTAAACGGTTTAAGGCTACATAGTGTGGACCAGACAAAACTAATACCTGACCTGAGCTGTCTTAAAATGAGCACAGGATGCTGGGTGTGGTGGCACACACCTGTAATCCCAGCAGCTGGGGAGGCTGAGGCAAAGTCAAAGCCAGCCTCAGCAACTCAGCAAGGCCCTAAACAGCTCAGTGAGATCCTGTCTCTAAATATTTAAAAAAGAGCTGGGGATGTTGCTCAATGGTTAAATACCCCTGGGTTCAATCCCAGTACCAAAAAAAAAAGAGAGAGAGAGAGAGAACAGAAGCTGTCACATTATAACAAATTATTGTGGAAGCCTGTTCTCCTACTCTTGTTATGAGCAGGGGTCAGAGGTCAGGGCCCAGGAATGGCTTCATCCAGTTGTAGACAGTTGTGTCTGTCTTTTGCCCAGAACACACCATCTTTCTGCTGCCCCTACAGGCTTGCCTCCTTATAGAGACAAGATGGAATTCTTTTTTTTTTTTCTTTTTTTTTTTTTTTTTTGTGTGTGTGTGTTTTAATTTTTATTGTTGGTTGTTCAAAACATTACATAGTTCTTGACAAATCATATTTAAGATGGAATTCTTACTGGGAAATACCAGTACCTTGTTCATCCCTCTGTACTCATAAACAACCTCCTGATTATTCATAACAGGGAGAGAAATTCAACTGTGAAAAATGCCACGAGAGCTGTATGGAATGCAAGGGCCCCGGCACCAAGAACTGCACCATGTGCCCCGCGTCCCTGCTGCTGCACATGGACGACGGACGCTGTCTCCACTGTTGTAACACCTCCAGCCCCTCCAACACCCAGGAGTGCTGTGACTGCCAGGAAAGCATGGGTAAGGGGACAGGGACAGCCTGCAGAGGGAGGGTCTGGCCTCAGAAAGCAATGACAGCCACAGAAGAGGAGGATGGAAAGTTCAGGAAAATCAATCAGGCTATCTTTCACTGAGAGTCTGCTGCATGCCTACTGTACTTGAAACCTCGTGCCCATCATCCCAGTTCTCAAGTAGATATTATTTTTTTAGTTGTAGTTGGACACTATACTTTTTAATTTTATTTATTTATTTTTATGTGGTACTGAGGATCAAACCTAGGGCCTTGCACATGCTAAGTGAGCATTCTAACACTGAGCCACAACCCCAGCCCCACAGTAGATATTATTGATCCCACTTTACAGATAAGACCACTGAAGCCCAAAGGGTTGGATTTGGATTATCTAGGTCTACATCAATATTAAGAGGCTCATTTAGAATTAGAAAATGGGTCTTTTAGACAGCAGAGCCCACGTTCTTTCCACTGCTATACTCTAACCCCAAGTTAGAGTTCAACTAGGTCTAGAATTTGACCTTTATACATTTACCCCATTCTATTTTTATTCTTCCCTCTTGAGGGAAATAAAGGAAAGAAATTAGCAATCAAGGAGGTTAATACAGTATTATCTTGAATCTGTTGAAAAATCATTCAGTGGAAGTCAGCCCAAATCAAAGCCTTGCATTAGAGACTTAGAGCATTTTAGAAATAAACTTTCATTAAAGGTTAAGAAGAAACAAAACTGAGCCAATGGTGCATGCCTGTAATCCCAGTGACTAGGGAGCCTCAGGCTGGAGGATCACAAGTTCAAACCCAGCCTCAGCAATTTAGCAAAGCCCTAAGAAAACTAGCAAAACCCTGCCTCAAAATTTTAAAAAAAGGATGGGGATATGGCTCAGTGGTTAAGTGCCCCTGTGTTCAATTCCTGGTACAGAGAAAAAGAGAGGGGGATGGGGGAAAAAGAAGAAACAAAACTGCTTTCACCAACTTCCAGACCTCAACTGTCTTCCAGCCTCCAATGTTGTTATCCCCACCCATGTTGATATTGGATTCTCGTTAGTCACAAACTTAGAAACATCCTGAATGCAATGATTCCTAAAAGGAAAACATATTCTGTATTGTTTATTTCAGATAGGGTCTCACTATGTTGCTTAGACTGGACTCTAACTTCTAGACTCAGGTGATCCTCCCACCTCAGCCTCCTGATAGCTGAGACAATAGGCACACACCTCTGCAACTGATTTGCATTTTTTTTTTTTTTTGATACTGAGTATTGAACCCAGGGGTGCTTTATCACTGATCCACATTCCCAACCCTTTTTATTTCTTTATTTTGAAACAGGTTTCTGCTAAGTTGCTTAGGGCCTTCCTAAATGGTGGAGGCTGGCCTGGAACTATTGATACCCCTGCTTTAGCCTCCTGAGCCACTGGGATTGTAGGCATGCACTGCTATTCCTGTCCTGGCTCCTATATTCTTAATACATATTCCCTAGTCCAGAAATAGATAATTTCCTAGGGGTTCAGATATATTATTTCCTGAGCAAATATTTATGGAAGACTGTCCATGTGTAAGTAAAGAAAATCCCAGACCCACAACTACTACTAGACACTTTAAAAAAATTTTTTTTTAAATTTTAATTTTTATTTTGTGGTGCTGGAATGGGGTGGGGTCAAATCCAGGGCCTCTTTCATGCCCAGCGAGCACTCTACCACTGAACTATCAGCCCCTATTTTTCATTTTCATATCAGCATTTTCATTTAGGTTCTAAGTATCATTTTTACCAAAATCAATTCTTTCCTTCTTCAGTTTTCCCACCCCTTTGGGCAGCTGTTTTCCCCAGTTCCTCCTACACATCCACCTTCAGGGTCTGACTGCCTAATATCCATGCTGTGTCAGTTAAGAATAATAACTGGTACTACATGGAAGCCATTAAATGAAACCAGAAGTGTGTGCCTGTCACATGTAGTGTTTCTGAACATCTGTCCCAACAAAGAACTATTTAGTCTGGTTTCTTGGTTCCTCTGTGATTCTTGAAGAGTCACCTGGGGCAACTCTGCAAAGTCCCAATATTCTTAGAGTATAGCTTAGTGGCAAAATGCTTGTCTAGCAGGCAAATGTGAAGAAAGAGAAAGGGGGGAAACAAATACTCTCACTCACTTGCTCCTTTATGAACTGAGGTAATCTGCCCCTTCAAAGAAACTGCATCTCAGAGGCTGACCCTGACTCTGCAGCCTAAGATGAAGAGTGAGTAAGATGTGATTGCACGTGGCACCCCAATAACCTGTGAAGGTGCTTTGTTGATTTCCTTGCTTCCTGTGATATTTACCTCAACATACAGATTGCTTTTCTATCTCTCTGGTGCTTTCAGTGTTTCCTCAGAGGGGAAAAAAGTCTGTGCTCATGTTGGTAATGATAAATATAATAATGATAGCTCTGTTACTTTATGTTTTTTTGTGGGGGGAGTGGGTACTGGGGATTAAACTCAGGGGCACTCAACCACTGAGCCACATCCCCAGCCCTATTTTGTATTTTATTTAGAGACAGGGTCTCACTGGGTTTCTTAGCTCCTTGCTTTTGTTGAGGCTGGCTTTGAACTTGCAATCCATGTGCCTCAGCCTCCTGAGCCGCTGGGATTACAGGCATGTGCCCCTGTGCCAGGTGTGCTATTACTTTAGAGGAGGGAATTCTGCTTGATAGGCAAAATCCCCTGAGTTTGAGAATAAAACAGAAAACTTGTTTATCACTAGTAAAAAATACACACACACACACACACACACACACACTAAATCAAAGATTTGTAAGTAATTTTTAATGTTGTCTAGTCTTCCTATAAAATAAAGTCATATTTAAAAGTTAAACACACACACACACACACACACACATACATAGCAGCGATGAATCAGATCTAATTTGGAAATATCACCTTAATAAATATCAAGATATTTAGTAAGCATAAATTATCATACCTGGTACCACTATTATACTCATTAAGCTAATGTGTAAAATGTATCTAGAATCTCCTATAAAAGAATCCTGGGGGCAGATCCAAGTGGTCCAATCAATATTTATGGAGAATCTACTATGTACTACAACTTGTACACCCAACCTGGTCTTATAGTTTGGGTGTTTTTTTTTTTCCAGCTTTTTTATACTCTTTCACACTCCTATATGGTGAGCTAAAGAAAAGGAAATAAATTAAGCAAATTACTCAAGTCATATTGCCTGAACAAATGAGTGTAAAGTAAGAAAATGGAGCTTATTGCTAAGTAATGGTTTAATCCTTCCTTCTACAGCACTGTTTCAGTTACTTCATGTTCTCAGTTAAGGCATCAAAACAGAAGCCAATGGATAATAAGGGTCAAAATTCTTAACTTCAGAAATCCTAATTATGCTAGGAGAAATGCCCTGTCACTCAAGTTGGTAGGCAGGATTTAAATGGTACAGTACTTCTGTTCCTGCTAGGCGAGTGGCACAAAACTTCAAGAAGCCAAGCACCAGTTGTCACACTATGTTTCCTTCAGGTGTCTAGACTGTCCCATGGAGTTAAGGTTAATGGACTGGAATTCTGGTTGTTCCATAGTGTCTTGTCTCTGACAATGTAACAATTCATTTCCTCTCCATGGCCTTAATTTTCTCAACTATCAAAAAATAAACTGGTCTAAGTAATTTCTAAGGCTCTACATGGTCATAGAAATCAGTGACAGGATAAAATTTTATAAATTATCTTCTCCTGCCCTGGAAGAGTAGGATAGTTGTTGTGGGCCAGGCTTATAGGTAGCTGGGAGAGGACTCAGTCTTAGAAAAAAATCAGAATGTCATTTAGCAATACTGAAGCATGGACCATGGTGAAATACTTTCTCAGGAGAGAAATAGAAGAATCAATTGATACATTGAACATTTGGAGACTGACCCATGACTGATGGAGATAAGGGAACTCCCTTTGGTCTCAAATTGACCCTCGTTCTAGAAGGGTGGCGTGGTTTTATCAAGCATGGACTGGGACTCTCATAGGGTACATGCTAAGATTTTGTAGGGTGGTGTACCTCCTAAGAAAATTAGACCATGATTCTTACATTTTTAGATTTTTTTGTAATGATGTTCTTTACCTCAGAAACTAATTTCCCCAATTCTGTTTCTTTTCTGCCATCGTTTCCTTTTCTCCCCTGCCTTTGGGGTCATCTTCCAAAAGACGAGTGCATCCTTCGAAGAAGTGAGCCTGGGTCTGCCGCTGAGCGCTCCAAGACTGCTCTGTTGATCACCTCCTCCGTCATGTTACTGCTTCTGCTGGGGGCTGCCGTGTTTGTCTGGAGGAAGTCTCGGGGCCAAGTCCAGCCAGTACAAAAGGCCAGTTATGAAAAGCTGGCTGACCCTGCCAGGTCATACTCCTCCTATAAGAGCAGCTATGGCGAGGGCACCAGCTTTGAAGAGGACCAGATGATCGAGTATAGGGACCAGGACTATGATGAGGATGACAATGATGACATCGTCTACATGAGCCAAGATGGCACGGTCTACCGAAAATTTAAGTATGGACTGCTGGAGGATGAGGAGGAAGATGAGCTGGAATATGATGACGAGAGCTATTCCTTCCAGTAGACACAGCCCACCTCCACCCCTTCCTCTCACGGGCATGCCTGTGAGCATGACTGTTTTGGTTTTATCCACACACCAGGCTGAGGTGTGAATGTGTTTGTCTTCTTAACCATGAATCCAACCAGAATATGTAAGAATGCTGAAATATTTTGTGCTTGTTTTGAGTGACTAAATTCAATTAACAGTTCCTGCTCAACCATCATTGAGGAGCAAGGATAAAATTTAAAGGCATTTTCCTCAAAATGATATGTGAACACACCAAAGCAGGAAGTAAAATTAACTCTTTTATGTGATTTTTAAAAATAGGAGTAGAAGACCAGTAGGGATTCTGTTTCCAAGTTGCATTGTGGGGAGCTCTGCTACTTTTTAGAATTCTGATATTTCTTGAAATAACTTGCGGAGGGGGGGGGGAAGAGTTGGCTTAGCAGGGATTTCTTTCCCCTTCTGGCTGTGTTTAGGCAGAGATTTGTTTTGTGAGAATCAAGGAAAAAAAGTGTTCTTATCTGTTGTTCCCAGAGTGTCCCCTGGTGAGCAGAAAAGAGCATCTCGGCTGAGGTGGCTCAGGACCCATTTAGAAATGAGGAAAGAAAAGAGGAGAAGCATCATAGCAGAGGAACTACTAGTTTGCTGGGCCCTGGTTCATCCAAAGGTTTACAGAGCCATAATGATCCTGAGGGCAGAATGGCTCAGGCAGGAGGCAGATGGTAGCAAGCCCAGTGTGAAAAAATCACCAAGATTCTAAGAACCACACCCCTGTGATTCTCCAAGAAGTTTTCTAGTAGGAAATCATGAAAGAAAAATGGCAATGTGAACCTAACATAAAATGAAAAAAAAAAATCATCCATTCTAAGAAAAATACTAGCTATCAAATCAGAGGAGCTTCCATCCACAAACCCATCAAAGAAATGCAGGCTCTCCATAGAGAAAGCTGGAATGGACTCTAACAGGAGGGAATAATCCCAATGTGCCGCTCTGCTTGTAAACTGTAATCCAGCTGTCAAACAGCCTCCCACCATGTTAGCACTGTGGTTTTGTTTCTAGACTTCCTAAGCTTCCCTTTTTCTCCTTCTCCTGACAAGTATGCTCTTAGATACAAATGAGGACAGTTTTTCTGCAGATAGTAATACAGAGAGAGGGGCTCTGGCTACTTCAAAGTATACCAGCAGAATCTTGTGGATTTCCTTGTCAAAGAAGTTATAGGCACTGTTAGGAGTGGGACAACAAAGAGTGAAAGTGACATTTTCAGATGATGGCAATAGTCAAAATATACTGCATACCTACTGTATACCAGGTATCAAGCTAAGTAATTCCTCTAAGAAAGAGAAAAAAAGAAAGAAAGAGAAAGAGAGGAAGAAAGAAAAGAAATCACCACACTTACCCACTTGACATCACAAGTCTATCAGGTTGGAGTCGTCATTGCCCTGCCTTTATAGGAAACCTGAGGTTTACAAAAGGCTAAGTCACAGGGCTGGGCATAGTGACACATGCCTATAATCCCAGGGAGGCGCAGGAAAGAAGATTAAGTTCAAGGCCACCCTGGGCAACTTAGTGATACCCTGTCTCAAAATAAAAATTATTTTTAAAAAAGGACTAGCTCAGTGGTAAAGCATCCAGGGTTCAATCCTCAGTACCAAAAAAGAGGCTAAATCACTAGTTCAAGGTCACAGAAAGCTCACCAAACTCCAAACAATAAGTGTGACCCTAAAGTGCATGTTTCTAATAAATATGCTCCACTAACATAAGATGGGAAAATAAGCATCCTAAATATAATAAACATGTCTATTATTGTATTCTATGACATCAATATCCTTCTAGGAAGTGTATGATCTTCATTCACTAAATTCATATATTTTTTAAACAATGTGACACAGACATGGGAAATTTTGATGAAGAAGACTTCCGTTTACTGAAGGCTTGTGTTTCTTCAGAGGAAAGTTCTTAGGGTCAGTAAGCTTTCCCTGGAAAGAGCCAGATTTTTGTTACTACTTCAGGCCTTGTGGGCTAAAACATCTCTACTATAACTATTCGGCTCTGCCATGGTAGTGTGAAAGCAGCCACTACCCTATGGATGGGAAGACTGTGTTCCAATAAAACTTTATTCGTGGACACTGAAATTTGAATTTCAGATAAGTGTCACACATCATGAAATATTATTCTTCTTTTGATTTTTTTTTAACCATTAGAAATATAAAAATTATTCTTAGCTCACAGAAGTACAAAAACAGGTGGTGAGTCAGATTTGGCTTGGACCTTGTCTTTAAAAAATTCTTCAGAGCCAGGTGCAGGTTCAGAACTGTGATTCCAATGAAGCTACACTTCCTTGGGAGGCTGAGGTAGGATATCGAAAGTTCAAAGCCAGCCTCAGCAACTCAGCAAGGCCCTAAGCAACTTAGCAAGACCCTGTCTCAAAATAAAAGATAAAAAGGGCTTGGGGTGTAACTCAGTGGTAAAATGCTTCTGGGTACAATCCTCAATACTAAAATAAAAAGAATAATTTCAGAGGTCCTCTGTATCATACATACATATGATATGCTTTCCAAAATTTTAATCATTTAAAATTAGCTCTTCAAAATCCATTTAAAGTCCTGATAGTTCTCTTCTTAAAAATGCTTGTAAGATAATCATCACATCAATGGGAGAATTTTCTTATCCATTGCAGTGTACAGAGTTAACCTACAGAAACAAGTAATTTTGCTTATACTGTGTTGTTCATGTTCCTTGATAATTTTAAAACTGTGATAGACTGAGTTGGACATTTTTTTCAATAGCCTGGAAATTGTTTTCCAAGAAAAGTCTGTGTTTATGATATGCAGTTAAAGGTTGAACAAGGTTGTGATGACCTTGAACACTAAGAAAAATTGTGCTCTTCTTCTATGTGACCTGAAATGAAAAGAACACATGTGCTCATCTACTGGCAAGTTTGACAAGTTTGTGCTTAGTCATGCCACATTATTCTCTCACTTCTTTTGAAAATTATGCTTACAACTGTCTTAATAGATAAATATGTGGTTGGAAAACAATGTCACCTTTGGTTTTGTTTGCAAATAACTTGGAAATACTAAGAGAATCCTCAAAAACTGGAAATATACTAAAAAACTGGATAAGAGCTTAAAAGGTTCTGATTCATGGAATGCAATTTTAAAAGTGTGAATAAATGAAATTAAGACCAGGTGATGCTATGAAGACTCTCTCTTTTTTTTTTTTTTTTTTTTTTTGGTACTGGGGATTGAACCCAGGGGCACTTAACCACTGAGCCATGTCCCAGTCTTTTTTTTTTTTTTAATTTTTATTTTAAGACAGGTTCTCCCTAAGTTTTGCAGGCCCTCATTAAATTGCTGAAGCTGGCCTCAAATTTGTGATCCTCCTGCCTTAGCCTCCCATGTGATGGGGATTTCAAGCATCTGGCACCCTGCCCAACTACACTTGCTTATTAAGAGACTGCTTTTGCAAATGTTTTATTTGCTTAGTATTATGATTTACCAAGAAAGAGATGCAAAATAAAAGAGTTCTCAATTTTCTCCTTTTTATATACCTATATCCAATGATTAGACTAGTCTTATCAATCTGAATTTTCTCTCCTAAAAATCAGTCTAAATGTCTTTCAGCTCCGTTACTATTGCCTTAGTCAGGCCAACACCTTTTTCATGAGACCATTGGGACTTCCACCTGAATTATGGATGAACTTCAATCTCCTTATCTCCCAATATTTCCTCTTTCTGTACAAAGGTTGTTTCTAAGATCCATCAGATCATCCCATTCAGCCTCCCTTATCACCTATTCTAATTATGACATGCAAAACTTTGAAATAGTAGGGCACAATGGCACATGCCTATAATCCCAGCACTTGGGATATCAAAGCAGGAGGATTGCAAGTTCAACACCAGCCTCAGCAATTTATGGAGGACTAAGCAATTTAGCAAGACCATCTCTAAATAAAACAAAAAAGGAGCTGAGGATGCAGTTCAGTGGTTAAGCACCCTTAGGGGTTCAATAATCCCTGGTACAAAAAACCTCACAATTTTGCAACATATTGCCATTGTTTGATTCTAAATTTATCACCTATAAAATCCTAGCCCCTCCTTACTTTCTAGCTTCCCTATGTATAGCTCAATGGTATTGATTTGCTTCTAGGTTCTTCACCATACTATCAAATTAGCCCACATCTTGGGTGCATATCATTCACCATTCTTGCAATCTTCTTTGTGTACCTTTACCAGCTGGAAAATTCCAACCAGTTGTGATGACACATGCCTATGATCCCAGCTGCTAAGAATGCTGAGACAGGAGAATCACAAGTTCAAAGCCAGGCTCAGAAACTTAGCAGGATCCTATCACAAAATTTTAAGACTGAGCTCAGTTTCCCTCTGGAGGTGGCCTGTGTTCTCCCTTGAATATGTATTGCTTGCTTTACCCCAAAGGCATCTTCTTTGAGCTTGTTCCCAATGAATATCTATCTACTTTCCTAAATGAACCTCTGTCTATACCTTAGGGGGTGAGGGGGGGGGGATGTAGCTCAGTGGTAGAACACTTGCCTTACATATGTGAGTCACTGGCTTCTATCTCCAGTACCACACATACACACATAAAAATGTCTACCATGTGCCAAACACTGTCCTAGTTACTGGGTAAACAACAGTGAATGGGATACATCTGATCTTGGTCCTCAAGGAACTTTCAATCTAATTGTAAAGGAAAAGACAGATAGCAACTACTACCACGTATAGGGATCTAATCCAGGGCCTTTAACATGGTAGGCAAGTACTCTACCACTAAGTCTTACTAAAAGGGAGGCTGGCTTCAAACTTGTAATCATCCTGCCTCAGCTTCCTATGCAGCTGGGATTACAGGCCAGCACCATCACATCTGGCTGTAACTTGATTTGTGTGTGTGTGTGTGTGGTGCTAGGGACTGAACCCAGGGCCTTATGCATGCAAAGCAAGCACTCTACCAACTGAGCTGTATCCCCAGCCCAAACTTTATTTTTAATAAATAGCTACATCTAA